TCGTACTAAATGTGATAATTGAGTGACTATAAGAAATGAAACGGCGAGACTATAACAGATAATAGATTTCGGATTTTAACGCGAAAGCCTTTCATCCATTTGGCTAAATAAATTTCTGGTATTATAGCTGATGTCAGTTCGTGATGAAAACCTCATATATAATTCCTAACTAAGGCAAATTACGACAATTATTGCGAACTGGATAATAAAAGCACCAGTAACACTGGTTGCAGCCAGGTACTACAATATATACGGATGATTGGAGAGCGTACAAACTCCTACATAGGCTTGGTTATGTGCATCGTGTCGTTATCCACAAGTAGCATTTTGTGCACTCAACAACCAGAGTGCACATACTGAAGCACAATATTGAGGCTATATGGTCTAGGCTGAAAGAGTTTTTGAGACTTTATGATGGCTCCAGAGGCCGACTATTCCGTAGCCGTATGGATGATCTCCTCTACTGCATGCATTAATATTTTAGAACCTCTGAAGCTCTTTCTAACCTTGACAAATTTTTGAACCACGTATAAGAAGTGTATCCACTTTATAGAGTTGACTGTTTTCAGTAGTATAGTTCATCTAATGTAAATTTAAATAATCTAATTTCTACAAAGAAATAAAATAATGAAAAACTCTCACGTCATATAAAACATTTATCTTAGCTGTTTAAATTAAATTTAACACTTTCATTTTCTTTCTAATGTTATTGCAACACTACTGTTCAAGAAAATAAACACAAACAGAAATGAGCAAAGACATACAGTGGCTAGCAGTGTAACCCAGTTTAACGGGCGTTTCGTCCTGTTTGGGACTCGTTAGCTGGATGTACCTGCATCTCAAAGTTGACGTCCACTGTGGGACTCGAACCCAGTACCATTCGCTTCGAACGCCATCGCGTTATTCACTCAGCTACTGAGTCCTGATAGCCACTTGCTTGTGCAATGGGATGGATTTAAATTCACTTGGTAGTGTTTGGCTTGTATCTTCCCGTTGAGATTTAAGACTGCAATTGATCAGTCTGTTATTCATCCTTGCTTATAAAAGCTTGTGAATTAAGGCAATATCGAGGTATACGCACAGTATGCACATATGCCAATAACAGACTGATCAATTGCAGTCTTAAACCTCAATGGGAAGATACAAGCCAAACAATATCAAGTGAACTATTTAGATAGTTTCATATACTTAATGTTTAGTTTTAGATAAATTCTATTGATTTAGGTACAATAAATCTATTAAGGTTATAAAAAAATGAACTTTACAGTGTATATCTTTCTTCAAACTAAGGGTTCAAATTCAAATTAGCAGATATTTATGAACTAAGTTTTCATTCAATTAGCATTTGTCAACACAGTAATAATAAGTCTGGTGTCTTGAAAGGATTGATATTTTACGTGGAATGTTAAACTTTTATTTCTGTATGAACTTATTTCTGAACTCTTAGTATGGTGTATCAGCTATTTGTGTTTGGTAAAACCTTATTTTTGAAGTTTGGTAATTCTACTGATACAAAGAATGTCGTTTCGAGACGTATACACCCACCGCATAGACACTCAGTCTATGCATGCAGACGTCGCACCTGGGACAAGTATAAGTTGGATGCATATCAGTAATACATAGGTTTTCACTTATCCATTCCATGGTATACGAATAGGTATACTAGCATCATTAGGAAGGTAGATGTTCACCACTCCCTTCATTTGTATTTGCTACCACTTTCAGGCACTTACGCGTTACATCCACATCACCGGTACATAAGCTTGAGCCCATAAACTTTATACCATACACATAGGCATAAGCACTCGTAAGGAAAGAAAGATGGTCAACACTCCCTTCACTTTTAACTGATAACCACTCCGTTTTTGTTTTGTTTGCAGGTTAGTTTTTTTGGTTAGGCAGCTTTATTGGCATAGGGCTGACTTTCTAGCTTGGACCAGTTTGGATAAGCTCTGCAAGCACACACTTTTGCATATGCCAACATACACAACTGCACAAGTTCAGATCCACGCAGTATATATATATATATATATATATATATATATATATATTACGATCGTAGAGCCTCGAAGTTAGGTCTCCAAGTAACTCAGATTACACCAGAAAGGTGAATTTGTCCAATCCCCACCGACCGCTCAATTTCTTCAATAAGGTCACCCTCATTATCCATCACGATCACGGGAAGGGCTTAGGTTGGATTTTACTTCCAAACTCCTTGTTAAGCTTTTTTCATTCGATTACATTATCATTTCAGTTAACATTTTGATTTTAACTGGATTCCAGATGTGGTTTTTTTGAATGTGGCAGAAAAGTTTGCGTCTGCCTAAGCTGTTAACTAACTTTCTTCAATAAACTAATATATTGTAATTTGATACCTATATTTGATAAAGAACATGAGCGACTGGAGAAAGGAACTCATACAGTAGTTGGAATACATACTATCCAAGAAATTTTGAACATATCATTACATATTATATAATCACATAAATCAATATGGATTATCATTCAAAACACCTTCCAATTGTTGATAAATCTCTGAAATACTTTTAGTCAATCACATCCAGCATGTAAATTCCAAAAGATTTATGTTTTCACCAAAGCTGACGTATCAAAATCATAAAGTTCTACTAATTTTCACAACTGCAAAGACTAGTTTTAGGCACAAAAATAACTTTTGATCTATATATCATAACTAACCATAGAGATGACAGTCCAAATTACGATCATAAGCAATTACTTCTCACTAATATAAAGCAGTTAACAGTTTCAACAGAAGAGAATAAAGACTTGGAGTTTGAATACTCTGTTTCATCAGACATTTCAATTTACAATGTTATTTTTTTTCAGTTCATTTCTACACAAAAATAATAGATCCTGTCAACCACAGTCACTTAATAGTCACACGTAAACGTTAATTTCAATCTCACTGTTGTACAAACCAGTAACTTTATTCAATAATCAAGAAAGAATTCAAACTCATATCATTTTTTGATTTATGTATCATAAAATTTAAGTGTTCTCACCATTTATTTATTATATATTTAGTGACTTCTTGATAAACAGAAGGGAAGTAATTTTCTCAGTAGGGAAAAATGCTGTTGTATATATTACATATAAAGAAAGATACGGTGAATATATTCATTTTTATCAATGTAGTTCAATTACGGTCATATATTACTTTTGAATAGAAAAGTTTCTTATCTAAGGAAAATTGTGGACTGAAATTTTCTTTCTGAAAAAGACTATAGTAATGGTAAATGTATATACTAACTCAAGAAAAGACGTTTTTATGTGCATACCATCTTGCTGTATTGATAAGCGGTGGTATGTATATACATTTCTAACCGTAGCAATAAATTTCTGCATATATATATATATATATATATATATATATATATATATATATATAAACATTTTTGTGATAGTGAAATTCGCGTGAAACGCGCGTCCCGGATTCCACTGCTAGCCGCTATTCATCTTTGGTTAGAATGTTTGTGAATTAAGGCAATATCGAGGCAACACGAACAGTATGCACATGTACCAATAAGAGACTGATCAATTGTAATCCTAATCATCAACCGGAATATTCAAGTAAACAATATCAAGTGAATTTAACTTCAGTCATTGCACAATCAAGTGGATATCAGGACCCAGTAGCTAGGTGGATAGCGCGATTAAGTTTAGAGCGAACGGTATTGGGTTTAGATCCCAGTTACACACAGCTTATGAGTTCCAAATATGACGAAACGCGCGTCAAATTGGATTCCACTGCTAGCTACTATCCATCTTTGCTGAAAAATTCAACTTTGTTTAAATAAGTAAACAAGTCTAGTACATTGTTAGCTTGATATTATAATGCCTAACAATTCTGTTAAGCCTCAATAATAATTAGTCGAAAATATCTGTAAGAGTTTAGAATTCTCATAGTCGTTGGTACAAAGGACTGTAATCGATCAGTCTTCTATAGGATCTTGAACAGATGATGTCTATGTTATTTGTATTTTAGGTAGAAGATTTTAGTACAACTGGAGCTTAACTACTAGTAAAACCCAAGAAGCAAATATTTGGAATTCATTCTAATATATTGAATAGTCAATAAATTTTTATAGAAATTCCTACTATTTGAATATCGGATAATACAGTTTAGTGCCAAATACTAGATTAAAATCTCAGTGTGAGCATTCAGGTAGGTTTAACTTGTAGTGACCTACTTTTATCAAGAGAACGCGATTGGTGTAATGGAAACAATTATTATTATGACCAATTGTACCAGGAATGGTTTTATCATACTTGTTTGTTTAACTGTACCAAAACACATACATTCTTCCGTCGATTGTGACCTTGCACGAATTCGGTTAGGCTCAGTAACCACACTTGTAAACTGGCACGATCTCGGTATTCTTTCTATACCACGAGATCGCCAACAAATACATTTCGACTACAGCCATCAACTGCCTTCTGATATTTGGCTTACGGGGATCTTATCGGTTAACTGACACGTAGTCTTCCTGTAGTGGTGATCATAATTGACCGCGACTCGACGCCGCACTACAAACTAATGGATTCCAAAGAGAATGAAATATTTAACGACTTCTAGTTCACAATTCAACTATACTAACAACTTATAATTAAAAATATGTTAGTACATTGTATGATCTTCAGTAAAATCTTATAGATATTTCTAAAATCTTTCGTTCTTTATTGAGGCTAGATATATTGGTAATCTTTTTAAATTATGGAATTCACGATAAAAAGCTGAACTAATGAGACTTTTATTATTTTCAAATATCTATTCGTTTCTTATGTGATGCTCAGTTTTTAGAAGTGAAATTGTTAGGTTTTTATGACTATATCTATCCAAGATGATTTTAATAATGTACTTCTTGGGTAGGGAGGTTAAAAGAAATAAACCGTACACAAATGTCTCGAATGTGAGGAAGGTGCCCATCTAAGAAAATTAAAGATGGTCATATAATGTCCTGGATTAATTGGAGTTAGATATGACTTTTAAGTGTCCACCATCTCTTCAACTTGAAACAGATGCAAAACGGCCAAAGGTCAGCGCTGATCACATATCCGCATTTTCTGACACTTCATCCGATGTTGGTGATCTCGAAGATTTTTCACGTCTTTTCAATACACTGGACTCGTGGGATTCGGAAACAAGCAATGGGCCTACTACTTTTGGAGCAAATGAAGTGACTGAGACTACTGTCCCTCAACTTACTGTTTTTCTTGAAAAACGTGCTCTAAGCAACCAGGAAGCTCGAAATAATTTCCCTGAACAACCTAAGCGTTTTATGCAGGCAGAATTGGAACTACAAGGAACACTAGAGGAGATGCAGGTGCTTGCAGCCAATCCAGAATTATACCCAATCTTAGCAGAACAAACACGTCCCATATCATTATTGTTAGGTTTATTAGCTCATGAAAATACAGATATTAATTTATCTGTTATTGATCTGTTGCATGAATTACTTGAATCTAGTTGTTTACAAGAAGCTGGATTAGATAAAGTTAATCAATTTTTAGAAGTTTTGTTTTCTGGACAATTGATACAATCACTTATACAGAATATTTCACGTTTAGATGAGACGAAGAAAGATGAAGCTGACGGTGTGCATAAAACACTCGGAATTGTTGAAAGTTTACTAGAAATTCGTCCGGATATGAATGTGATAATGGCAAATCAAGGTTTATTTGAATGGCTTTTACGACGTTTACAAAAACGTCCAGTATTTGACAAAAATAAATTATACGTTAGTGAGCTATTATCAGTCGCATTACAAATGGATGAAGCTAATCGTCTTTAATTAGGTGAAGTAGACGGTATTGATATATCGTTGCAACAATTATCTGTTTATAAACGACATGATCCTGGAAGTCAAGAAGAAATTGAATTAGTGCTTAATTTATTCGATTGTTCCCACCCGTGTTCTGGTCACTACATTCTGGAGATTTTAATATCAAGCATCACTTAAATGCTGTCATACTGATGTTGTCTCATATTTAATTGTTTTAAATAAGTTTTTTAAATTTCATGTTATTTGTTGTTGTCCTATGAGTTAGTTGTAACATTTTTTTATTGACTTAAGGATAGTAATAATAAGCGTTCCATTGATTTCTTAGTATCTCATTGCCAGTATAAGTATCCTCCACTGAAACCAAATAGAAACTTAGAACGTTGTTATTCATTGGCACTTTTCCATAGTGCAACTGCAAGTCATGGGGATGATGTTGAACACAGTCGTTTGTTTTTTTATAAATAGCTATGCACTTTCTGCAGGTTGATTCAAAAAATCGGATGGATAAATGGGAACTATTATGATATAGGAAGCTAACGTTATAGAGATCGACTTACGAATTCGACTACAGGACTGATATTGTAAATATTAGATCGGTTAGAACTGATTTTCGTATTATTACTATTTATTTTTTTTGCTGCATAATCACTGACTAGATTACTATATCTATATGTTCAGCTTATTACAAGCTTTCATTTAACTCATTAATGGCTGTTATACGACTTACTATTCTTAATTTGTCCCCAGTCTATTGCTCACAGCTTCCCCTATCCACGGCCACTTTAGGGTTATTTGTGTATGATTGCAATTCTTCATTCTATGGTGTGGTGCTATCCGGTATGTTTGTATATAAACCCACGTATGCCTAATATGTATTAACAATAGAGCTCTGTCTGCCAACTTCTCTCTTGGACTTACGGGATAAGATAGAGAAAAGCTAATGGATAGTGAACCAATTTGAGCTCAAACCTGGACTGGTAGTAGTTAGTTACATATTTCAAAACTGTCAGCTCAGTTTTATGTATAATTCTCACTCTGTAAAAGATTTACAGCTTACTTAGTGAGCTAATTCAATAAGTATTACTGTTGTTAACTATAATGGAAACCTCAATGTTTGAATACGGATGAACTACAGAATAAACGGTTTTCGTATGTTTATTCTTTTAAGTTGACTATGACTTTTGTATAGAACCACCAACATCCAGCTGGTTTAAAATACAAATGCGGGGAGTTCCACCTGGGTTACAAAAGTTTATGACCAATAAAATACTGTATAAACTATTCCCTCGATTTTCCATTTACAATCTCATCAAATACCGCATACCAAAAATGTAGAAGGACGTGTTGATACTAATTTCTTAAGCAAACGATATTCGTTGAATACAATTATCAGTAGTGAAAAGTACTTCATATAGTAACCGATACATTTTCCGGGAACTAACATTTTGAAATGATAAATATTCCCTTTTAAAAACATTAAACTAACCTTACAATAAAAGACAAGAGAGTAATCCACGTCCAGTTCATTGTCACTGAACTTACCCATAACTCTTCTTAAATCTAATCAATCCGCCTAATGACTACTCAGTTCCATGGATTAGTGGTGGATTATTGCAGCAATCACTTCATTATGGATGACCTATCTATACAAGTAATAACTCTTTTGAAGTGTAAAAGAGATCAGACCAGTTGCTTAATTACTTGTGCCTGTTACCTCTCATGGGGAAGCATAGGCCGCTCACTAGCATTCTCCATCTAACTCTATCCTGAGCAATCCCTTCCAGTTCTTTCCAGTTGCTATTCACCCTTTTCATATCCTTCTATTTCCCGACGTAGTGTTTTCTTTAGACTTCCTCTTTCCCGCTTCCCCTCAGGATTCCAAGTCAGGGCTTGACTCGTGATGCAGTTTGTTGATTTCCGTAATGTTTCAATGTCTTTTCCTAATTTCCTCTTCAACTCGAAGCTGATTTGTTTTCTCCTACAGAAGGCTGTTGCTGATGGTATCCGCCCAACGAAAAATGAGTATCTTGTGTAGATAATTGTTCACAAATGTGCATTTTTGATGATGGTTGTTGTAGTTCTCCAAGTTTCAGCTCCGTACAATAGGACTGTATTAAAGATTCTGACTTTGATATTGGTTGACAGTTGTTTTTAGTTCCATATGTTCTTCAGTTGTAGGAATGCTATCCTTGCTTTGCCAGTCCTCGCCTTTACGTCAGCATCAGATCCTCCTCGTTCATCAGTGATACTGACCAGGTACGAGAAAGTTTCCACCTCCCCCAGAGTTGCTTCACCAACCGTGATTGAGTCGGCACTCACTGTAGTATATTTTAGAACATTAATTTCTCCACTGTGTATTTTGAGGCCTACTGTTGCAGACAGAAGCTGTTTCTACACTGATTGTCCAGACCTGCATTTGTTCGTGTGTATGGGATGGAAGAGTTACGTCATCAGAAAAGTCTGAATCATCGAGCTGCATCCAAGCTGTCCATTTTGTTCCGTGCTTCCCTTCAGGTGTCGAGGTCTTCCTAATCCAGCCAACCACCAAAAGAAAGAGAAGGGGAGAGCGTAAGTAGTGATGTCTGACTTCGGTCCTTACTTTGAATGAGTCTGTCAGCTGTCCTCCATGCACCAGTTGCACTGCAGTCCATCGTATGAGTTCCATTTGGTGATGTTAACTACTTTCTCAGTTACTCAGTTCATAGTGTTGAAGAAGGTTCCATGTGGTTCGCCTATCCACACTGTCAAACGCTTTCTCACAGTTAAGCAAGTTGATATATAGTGACGAGTTCCATTCACTAGATTGATCAACGATGATCCGTAGTGTCGCGATTTGGTCTGTGCAAGACCAGTCCTTACGGGATCCGATCTGTTGATCGCAAAGTTGGTTGTCCACTGAATTTTTCATCCGTTTCAATAACACTGTTGAAACCTTTTCGTGGTGCCAATAGTAGTGTGATCCGCACGTTTCCTCATTTCTCCTTTACTTGGGATCTTGTTGAGGTGTCTTTCATTCCAAACTGTCGGTACTTGTTCTGTAGTGGCATTGGACCCTAACCACACGAGCTTTGAAGCCATGCATAAAATTACTGGAAAGATTTATACTCAACAATTGACATGAAGAGAAGGCTAACGATGGAGAGAGCGGGAATACTCATCTAATTCAATCGGATGGTATGGCTCGACCTCGCAGACGTGGTTATTGTGTATAACTTGCCTTCATTACGATTAAACATGTTATCCTATCTTTGGCTTAAATGTGTTCTTCAGAAGTACTGAATATCATATTGTTAAATTTTACGATACGCTGAGTCAGGGTAGATAATGATGTGACTTCCACGTAAGATCTTATAGACTGGGCAGTCACAACATGACATCTACAATTATAAGATTGGGTTTATTACTACAATAATACTAATAATGACTTAGACTACAATTCTACATTGGTAAGCCCGACTAAGGAAACGCAGTCCTTTTATTAGTCCTCATTTTCACTCTAAGTTTATCAACTGATTTTTACTTATGTTAACCCATTATTCTATTAGTTCTCTGATTAACGCTCACGTGTATTATCGTAATGCTATATTGATTAGTACTCATAACTTGTTAGTTCAATCGATACTAATAACAGGTCATCTATACTAATTATTGGCTACGATGGTTCATTAACAAGCATTGATAGCATTTACATGCTTCAGGGAAATAAACTTATTAAAATATCAAGCACTTGCAAACATGGCCTTTAATTGACTCATATTTACATTGGCTAGCAATGCAAGCAAAGACTTATTAGTTAACTTGACCTAGCTCTTTATCTTGTTTCTTCTACCGTTTTACTCTTTTTCAAACCATGGACTATCCTTTTCTTCTGATCACTTCCTGGTTAATTCACAGTTTTCGAGTTCCATCGCCAAACAACAAAGATAACATCCCAAGAAACTTACGGTGAGTTTAAGCTATGAAGTTTCTGCAACCTTAACCTAATTTTAGATGGTTCATACAGTGATAGCTACATATGTGTCTGGACTCTTGGATTTGTACTATTTCTTGCAACTGTTTTTATACGTCATATGCATCGGATAATCTAAATACTGAAAATAATCCAGGTGAGTTTGACTATTTTGCTGGATGATTTACTCTATCTGTACTTAACACGCATATATTTTCACTCAGACTAACAGTAAATATTCCACACAAACCACTGTTAAAACATTTTTGGCCAAGTTTATTATTTTTTAATTGTAATATTCCTCATCAATCAGCATGTTAACCTGGCCTGTACATGCATTACATTACATCTCTATGTCTGTAAAATTTAACAATCATTTGAATCTTCTTTAACATTTCCACTAAACCCGTCATGGTCGTCATTGTTATACGTATTTGGCTTTAGGAATTGGGCTATCACAATTGCCTAAAAAGACGTTGAACATAGTTCAGATAATAAAGTCACCCAAATTAGGTACTATCGTGCTACACTGATACAGTGAATAAACCATCAAGTAGTTGTTAGTTAAAAAGCATTCAAAATTATATTCCAGAGGGTACTATTGGAATTAACATCTAGTGAACAAATAATTCTGGATCGTAATTAGTAACACAATAATTCAGCTTGGATCCGTTGATGCTACATACGTCTGTTATTTCAAAATCACCTAAAACAACAATATTTGTTTACCACTGGCTGAACTTAAATCCATTCCTTATGATGATGCTTGTTGCGGCCCAGAACCTCCTCACACTTTGAAGTTAATGCTTCTTTGATCTCTTTTCAGTTGTCCTCCATTGTAGTCCCATCTTCTTTCAGTAAATCCTGTAAGGCTTGGAACGTGTTTTTGAGAGTTATCTCGAATTCACTAAGTTTGTAAGTATCTCAAGGGAAGGCTGTATTGAACCTTTGTGACGCTGTTTTTCCAGGTTTTCAGTGCTTTTTTAGCTTCAGTTTCATCTTGGCAACCACCAGGAGGTGATCTGAAACTACGTCAGCTCTTCTCCTGGTTCTCACATCT